ATGGTAAGTCATAGGATACCTCCAACAACCTCATTATCAAGTATCTTTCCGGAGAGTTGATGGAAACATCCCCATATTTTCAAAACCAGCAATCAGGGATACTATATATTAGGACCTGGTCAGCTACAAACAAAATTTCCTTTGGAAGGGGTCCTCAGAATAAAAACAAAAGGGGTCCACAAAGAGAAATCTTGCTTTCATCACCCAATAGACATCCTAGTTTGTTTGGTTACAACTTGGTTTTACTTGGTATGTATGAACTGATAAGGGGGTGGCTAAGGCAAATCAATTCTTTAGCATTCAACTCAAAGCTACTGAGTCCCGAGTCCACGCTAGTGATCCTTCGGGGTGTTCCATTGCAAAGAACAGCCCCAGGCAAAGTTGCACCATTGCCACCCATGCCGAGAAGTCGATGAGACCCAGGGCTTCACGAAGGTACGCAACCCGGTCCTTGTACTTCATGCGGCGCCAGTTGCAATGCTGCAGCTGGCAAACCATCGTGCATGGGGGGGATAACATCACACATAGAGGTCGAAGCAACAGATTGTCTTGCAAAACCGTTCGTTGGAACGCTGTTTCCCCCAAGTCCCAAAAGTGCTTGAGATCAAAAGATCTTCTAGCTCGACCATTCAGCGCTCTAACAGCAGGTGTGACTCGGGGAGCAGAAAAAAATTCCCATAAATGGCACCGCAGCTCTGCATCACAGGATGGGGCTGGATGTTTGATATAGTCTAGGAGGTCATGGTAGGGGCAGTGAACCACCGATGGAATACTGTTGGTTGCAGTAATGAGGGTAGAATCATCCCAATTTTTCAACCCACTGTTGTCGCCACTGCCACCACTCCCACCACTGACCCCAGCCATGGACAGGTCGAAACCAACATCATCATCATCAGGAAGAGCAACTTGGCTCGCAGGCTTCTGCCCAACTGGCAGCTTGGGCCGTTTGCAAGGTGGTTTGGAAACCGGACTTGGCTGACAAGTCCAATCCCCTTCATCATCATCAGGGAGTTCGAACATGGCTATACCCAATGGTGTAATCGAGACCAGGTAATGCTCAGAGGTTTTCATGGTGTGATTATTCAATCTAATTAAATGTTGATATGTTCATAGGTGGGATGTCCCAAGTGATGGGTATGATATAGTTCTAAGTTGTTCAGAGTTGACATGTCCCAGCAAATCTCAGTGTAGACTCTGAGCCTTCAAGGTTGGCAAAAACATGCACTTTGATGTTCGAGGATTGAACCCATCCGTTGCGAAAGGTAATCACAATTTGCTGTGGTCGTTGAATCATTATCATGGCACCATTGTTATCAGGCCAAGGCAAAGAAACATCAATCATATATTACCAAAAAGATTGAAAGCGCACAGGCATTGAAGATCCAACCCAAGTATTCAATGTCAAGCAAGTCCATCCCACGCACAAGATGCAGAATAGTAGTTTCTACCCAGGGTGCAATTTTAGTAAGCATGTCAGGTACCCACATGACAGCAAAAGATTCATTTTTTCGCAAAGACCAGCGCTGTTTCACACATGATCACACATGTACTGACCACAATCTCCAAAATGAGAGCGTCAAACGCTGATGTCAGGCAATTTGAACTGCTATCTAAAAGTGTCACAGGAAATCCCGCACACTGAAAACCCCAATTGTCAATCAAATTGACTGTGTCAAGCTATGTAGTTGACAGCATTCCCCAAAGTTCAGCCACTCATAAGATTACTAGCCTAGTGCTTGGCACCTCTGCCACGGCCACGACCACGATGACGCCCAGGCTCTTTGACATTGGATTTGATCTTGGATTTGTCCTTTTTTGCTCCACCACGGCCTCGTCCTTTGCGAGAAGTTTCTTGGCTCGATGAAGGCACCACCCCTTGGTCCGTGAGAAAATCATCCATTGCTACATCCACGGAATCAGCACTAACACTTTTGTTTCAATACAGCCTTTCAAGGCCATCTTTCCACAAGTGGGAAGGGGCTGATCCATAGAACTTGCTTCTCCGGGCTTCAAAGACACCAGCTGCTTCAGGGTTGTCAGGTTTCTTCCTTCCCGCAAATGTTGATCTGGTTGGCCATGGTTGGGTATCACCAGCCCCAAAGTCAATGGTTCGGGGAGCAACAGGGCTCATGCTCTCTCAACCGGTGGAGGGACAACAGTGCCACGCTTTTTGGATCGTGGGCCAAAAACCTGAGCACCTTCCAATGGTTTCACCTCTGGTACTTCTGGTTCGGCATGGTTGCTATCATCCTTTCTTTTTGGTGGTCTCCCCCTTTTCTTTGGTTCACCCAGATTCCCACCCTTGGCAACAGTGACAGAGCGAACCGGGCCAGGGGCAAATTTCTCCCACCTTGGCAAAGGGTTGAACTGGAAGTTGGGACCTCTTTTACAGAATCATTGGTGGATATTGTATCATTTGATTTGAGTAAATGCTGACATTATTGTTGAAATTTATCAGGATTGAAAGTATAAATGGTGAATGTTAATATTCATTTATTCTAAGTCTATCTGTTTCATGTTTTATCTATAAACATTTTTTTGATCTATCTACCCAATTGTGTGTATGGTTGTTCATCCATCTATCTTCTACCTTGTGCATGCACCCATCTCTGTATCTATCTATCTATCCATCCATCCATCCATGTATCGATTTATGTATCTATGTGTCTACTTATGTAAATAATTTAATATCTAATATATATATATATACTTATGACTAAAAATAATTATATATATATAGATATAGGTATAGGCATGTCTCAAAATGAGGTGCCCTTTTTTGACCCCAACAAGGCTACTTTACAGGAAAAAATGCACCAATATACATACATATGCATATTCCTGAAAATCACTTAGACTAGTGTGGGTATGTGAGAATCAACACATTTCTTGAGCATATGGTGAACATGTTTGTGAAAACCCCTTTGGTGAAGGCATCAATTTTCAGGGCTTTCAGCCTTTTATGATTACCATGGTCATGATGATGATGATGGTGGTGGTGGTGGTGATGATGATGAGGGTGATGATGATCATGATGATGGTGATGATGATGATGATGATGGTGATGGTGATGGTGGTGATGATGATGGTGATGGTGATGATGAGGATGATGGTGATGGTGATGGTGGTGATCATGATGGTGATGATGAGGATGATGATATAATATAATAAACAAAATAAAGTTGATGCAAGGCACCCATCAGGCGCAGGTTCCACACCCAGCTCACGGACATCAGAGCTGAACCACCACTTGGGTTCCGGGATGGCTGGCCAACTTTGCTTTTCATTTCTATCCTCGGGGCTGCATTGTGATGGGCAGATGTTATTCAAGGATGATGGCATGTTTTAGTTGACGAACCAACAGACCCGAAGAATGGTGTAAATGGTTCCCGCCTGTCTTGGACATTCTTTGGCAATATTGTCAGAACAAGGTTCGGTTGCAAACGGTCATGGTTGGGGTACTGAAGAATAGCAAGACCCCAAACCAGCTCCAATTAAATCCCAACCTGCAGCTCGAAACCCCCACTATGAAATTTTCTGGCAGCATCCTTCAGATTGCTCATTAGTGCATCAAGAACCAAAAGTAGAAATGCAATGATAATGATGTGGCTGGAAATCCTGTCGAGTACAGAAAAGGGGGGCCCCAACATGATGTTTTTGAATGCCAAAAAAAAGTTTTGGGGCCCCTTTAAACAGTTTGAAAGCAGAGCTTCAACCCATTCCCCAAGCGCATTGGCAGCCCTCTTCAGGTTCCACGGATCCTTCTCGATGGTTTCTGCTGTTTTCCGAAACCTGGGCAGCCAAGATGAAAGCCACTTGGCAGGAAAGACTGGGGGTCCAGGGCCAGCAGAAAAGTCAAATTGATCATTAATAGTTAGTTCTTAGGTCATCATAGTTCATCTCTGTTTATGTGAAAACATGTCATCAAATCATTATTATTAGTCAGTGTTTGAGCTAAGCTACTCTTTCCGGGCCCGGTCGGCCACCAGATTGCGAGGAAGGCCCACAACACCATCTTTGATATACTTCTGGAAAGATGCTGGCAGTAAGCACATTGGAGCTTGTGATAGTGACTCAGAGTTCACCAGGTGTTTCACAAGGAGGATGCAATCATTGGGTGACTTCTCATAGTTTTCCTAAGCTATCAAGGAAACATCTGGTTAATCAATTAAAGGTAATCATTCACAATTTGAATTCATTTTGGAAACTATTCCCCAAAAAAAAATGTTTTTAATGGTGAGGATGAGTGTGACTGAGACAAGGCTCCCCCGGAATCTCCTTGGGCACCCAAGAGTCTCCGGTGTGGTCATCATAGACCGGCAAGTCCTAAGACGGGGTTCGATGTAAGGGTTGGGGCTGGCTTGATGATGACATAAGATGCATCAAAATAGCAGGGATTACAACAAAAGATGGGGTAAATCCAAAAAAAATAAAAGTAGTTGACATTGAATCAGGTGTCACTTCGACGAATGAATCTCCAACAATGGTTCGCATCTGCATCATCATGACCAGTGTGCACCAGCCCCGCAATCTCCACCCGGTACTGTGACAAGTACTTCTTCATGTCAAGGCTACCCTCCAACAGCTCTGCTTTCAACACCCGGTTGCGAAGGGGTTTGAAATTCTGCCGGATGACCTCAACAAAGTCCTGGGGGGTACCAAGTGTTAGAAACCGGTAGTTAGGCCCAAGCTGAAGGAAAATCTATGTACCCCAAACATAATGTAATGACGAATTATACTTTTTAATTAAAACAACTTTTTTTTTGACCTCAGCAAGTCCTGGGGGGTTTCGATGCATGATTGGGCAGAGAAAGTTGCTGCGCATTGTCCCAGCCGCTGGTCAATCGGACCATGAGTATGGCCAACTTGGCCGAAGACATGGGTTATGCTCCTGAACCTCTCAGTGGGCATGTTTCCACAAATCAAACCCTGATTATATGGCAAAACCAAAAGCCTACCCACCAAAGAAAAATAACATTGGTTGAAAATTTGTTCAAACATTAATGTCAAGGAGCCTTAGTGATATAATTGCCATGGCTGACATTTTTGCGATCACCTGGTTCTTTCCTTCACGCACACAATTATCGGTCTACAGGGTTCGATGGATGGCACGCCCAGTACCCAACATATAAGACCATGGTAAACCAACACCTATATAATAACATTAAGATAAAACAACAATATATATATATATACAACATAATAATTAGTAAAATATTATGGTAAAACAACACCCGTCATGTTGGAAATTAGTAACAAGTAATTTTCAGTAATGAATATAATGTGATTTTTGGAATTTAAAGGCAATTCCCCACCTCCAAAATGAGATGTTCTGGCATCAGTTTGCCAGCTTTGGTCAGCTCATCCACCACCCAATCCAACGCCTTCATGATGATGGTCACCTCACAAGAGCTGTCCTTCGCAATGTCCGGCTCTAGGACCAAGTAGCCTTCAAGAACCTGGGCACCAGTAAAAATTTGAAGGTCAAGAGATCTCAAAAATGAAGTATGAAATCAACAGATTCATGAATCTTTCAATCCACCAAGAAATGGGTTAAAATATGATTATAAGCTTTGTTCACTATTACCAATAACCAACATGAATTTGATGGTAAACAAACACCAAAACAACATGAATAATTTATCCCAGAAACCCCCCAGGCTATCACTCCCACCAGATGGAGCTGTGGTCTCCAGCAACTGGCTAACGTCTTACTTGATTCAAGGTTGCGGGGGAACTTCGTCTTGCTTTGGTCCAACCCATCCAGGTCCACCTTCAAGATATTTGACCCAGCAGTCTCACTCAACACACTCAGCCTCTGCTGAATCAGGCGATATTGATGAACATTGAGCAGATGCTGCTTCTGCCCTCGTTCCAAAGCTGATCGCTCGGCCTCACATGTAGCTTTGTTGCAGCGAGCACTGAACTCCGCACAGATAGAACACCTGAGGGGCAAAGGATTTCCCAGCACAATCTATCATAAACATACCTGATATAATGGTAATTATACACATATATGTTTATCAACTGCAGTTGTCTTACCAAAACACATGTAAACACATTGAGTCATGCTACATCATGGGTGAGCAACTTCATGTGCTATTATTGTTGGACATCTGGCACCTGGCATGCTGGGAAACAGTTCTCATCTTGACAGTGTGCTTCCATTCCATATCATAGGTTTGACGGAAGCAGTGGGAGGTTGCAATGTCACCTTCAGCTACACCAGCCCCAGCAGCCCACATCAGGTAGATCTGATAAAAGGCTTCCACCGTCATATGGTTTGTGTATCGGGGAGCTAAGCCTGGGATAGCCAAAGACTACCAATAAAAACATTCTGTGTTTCTGCAACCTTAAAACAAAACCAATAAGTGGTGGGGAAAAAAACAGGTTGGTGCCATGGTTTCAATTCTAGAAACTTGTAGTCCCATCCGATGCAGTCAGTCGCACACTGGCCGCTGGCACATTGGTGCTAGCCAACGCCTGTTCAGAGTAGACCCCTGCACCTTTGAGGAACGATGCTGGCATCTCCGAGCTGGTGTCACCTTGCAGGGGGCATCACCCGACTCTTGGCTGGGTAGACATCTGAAGTGGATAGCCCCAAACAAAACAAAGTTCTGTGGAAGCTTTTTCAACAGGAACTTGGGCCTATGTTGGAAGATTTCTCACAAAAATGGTGGTAAGTGAGTGGGGCAAAACATTTTGCTAAAGATTGCCATTCTTCAAGTGACCCGGCAAGAAAAGCCCACTAGTGCACATGGCAGCACCCTGCAGCACTTCGGGTGCTGGATCTTCTGCTAAGGGTTCAGCCTGCAGTAGGAACACAGGCACATGGAAAGAGATAGTTTTTGATCTGATTCATTGGAAAATCCAACTTGGTTAAAAAACACAGCAGAAAACGACCAATCAATGGTCAGGTACCAGGTTCCAATAGTAGTACGTGAAGAAGGCATCCACATTGTTGGACTTCGTTTTGGCCTTGCCATTATACTTCCTCATGTCTTGAGGGAGGAGATTGGAATCCATCCCAACAAGAAGTCGCATCACCTAGTCGGTTCCAAGCCAAGAATTTTGGTGAACCCCCTTAATTACCCAGTTGCATCACCTAGTCAATTCCAAGCCATGAATTTCAATGTGGGCTGGTAAACCCTTGCCTACCCACCATATAAAACAAACATCATAACATAGCAAAAAAGAAACAACTGTTGTTTCAAAGGCACCCGCTTCTCATTGACACCCAGTAAAGCACAGAAGGCACCACTGCAAACCGGAGCCCCGCAAAGATTCCAGTCGATATTGGTCATAGCCTGGCTGGGGAATGATAAGACAGGCAGATAAATGGAAGGATAATCAAACTTGGAGGTAAATAGCAAGATGGGAAATAATGGGTCAGTTCACCAAAAAAATGGATGGGTTCACCAATCGATAACTCCATCATTTTTGGTGACACATGGGTTGACTTGGTGGAACAGCATGAATTAAAAGCATAGCCTGAAATCCAACCAGCACACCTTGGACACAGCTTCCTTGTCTGCCCTCTTGTTCAGCTTGCCCAGGATTCCCAAGAGGAATTGGTTCGTTTCCTCCTGGTTGAACACCTTCAACTTGGACCGGACGTCCTATAGGGCCACTTGGCAGTAGCAGGTGGTATCGGTGGACCATGTTTGAATTATTGATAGCCACCAAACAACATTCATTATTAAATTTGTCATTGGTGTGTGATTAGGTTAATGTATGATAAGTTGCCCCCAAACCATTCCTCGATGGTCTCAACTCGCTTGGTGCTAGCACGAAAATTGTGAATGCAGTTTTTCCCACAGCACTTCCACATTTTCTCTGTTGAAGTCCTTGGCGCATGGACAATGGAAAAAATGTTTATCAAATAATAAGGGCATCAAGATTTTCTATGAAACCCCTATAATCAGGCAAACACATAACTTAATAAAAGATCAAAGTTCTTCAAAGCGCTGCCCAAATACTGGTCTCCATCAAGGGTTTCCAGCCGTTTGCGCACTGGGGTCTTCAGATCAGGGACAGCAAGGTGGGTCAGCGAAAGCACATTGGGCTGCCCATCAATGGTAGGCCCCGAATCATCAGGAGGAAGCTCCATGACCAAGTGCCAGGAAACAAGCTAAAAAAGGATCAAAACGGGTTAATGCCAAAACCCATTATTGAATATGTTTCATAATATGGTACCGATTAGCCTCACATGATTGTTGTGCATATCCAAGTTTTGTTCACCCACATGTGGCTTGATCGGTTTGGGCCAATGCACCCAGATTAACCAAATGGATTCAAGTTAAATAAAGGTTTAATGCCAAAAAGGTGACCTTCAATGTATCACACCTATTTTTGATGTATCTATGCGCCCTTGATGAACCAATTGGGTTGTTCACCTTGTGGTTTACCTCACCCATGGATGGATATTACAATTAGATGGGTGGTTGGATAGATGGCAGACTTATCAAAGCCCATGACCCTGGGCTCCCAGGCTGTGATGATGCCACCCTCGTTGCCACCACCAGCAGTGCCAGCTTCCAATGCCACCCCCACAGGGGTGATAAGATAGGATTGTGTTTGGATATGTTGTTTTGGATGATGGTGGGGTGATGATTATGGGGTGATAATGGGATAATGACAGAGTAGCGGCGAGTAGCGATCCCATGATGATGGGGTGATGATGGTGATGATGGGAAGATGATAGTAATTGTGGTGACGATGATGATGATGATGATGATGATTCACCAATATTAGTGGATGGAAATGACATATCTTGACACTGCAATGTGATTGGGGATGGCTATTGCTACACATGGAATGGTGATGAACTCAATCAGTTGTCCATTTAAACTAAACAACAACCACCACAACCACCATAACATAATGGGGACTAACCATAGAAATATGATAATGAAAAACAAGGCACAACATATATTTACACAGACTCTACCCCAAATCAAGTCAAATCTACCCCAAATCAAGTCAAATTCTTTAAAGGTAGTTCAACGAAACTGTGCAATCCAGCTTGCAGACGATCCAGCCTTGACTGTCTCTGAAAATAATTGTGACGTCTTTCGATCATTCTTTTGACCCGACCTATTGAATCGCTTTGCTGATGTTGTCATCAGATAAGAAAGCACATTGCGCACTACTCTCATTTCGATCACATAATTGCCTACACTTGAAATGATAGACATTAGTAAGAATGTCAAGATAAGTGAAATATTCACTCCGAATACAAGATCATTGTTAAAACTTGAAACACAAAA